TCTCTCTCTCTCTCTCCCCCCCCCAAACGGGCAGCAGCGGCAGGCACCACGTCGAAACGGGCGCTTTGAAATTGCTCGGGCCTGTGCGAAACCCGCCACCTCAAAAACCTGCAGTGTCTTGTGTCTGGACCTCTAGGCCATGTCCGGTGGGGTGAAAGGACACATAAAAATCACCCCGTTATTTTTCAATGGGCGGCTAGGACCCGACAAATGTCCTGGGCCGCCCCATTTTTTTTTTCGATTTTTGCCCCAGGGGCCTCCATCCAGACATGGGGACCGGACACCACACACCGGACTGTCTGGAACCCGGTCCGGACGTCCGGGCGGTTGGTTGAAACTTAAACCGCTACTTTTGACCCTTCCCTTGCCGAGTCTGGAACCGCCCTGCACGCCCAGAAAAAACGAAGCGGCGTGGGCCTTCTTGTGGCAGGTGGCACTAACCATTTTGTTCCGGTAGGTCGACCCCCGAAACCTTTGGTGTGCATGCAGCTGCATCAGAGAAAAATGGCTGGCGAAGGAACTGGTGGTTCAAAACAAGTTTTGCAAAATCCAAGCCCATCATGTTCCCATCAACATGCTTTTGTTATCATTGATCATGGTTCAAGTTGTGGTTCGCTAACTTTTAGTTTTTGTTTTTTTCTCCTTCGAGGTTATAGAAAGCAAGGAGATGGCCCGACAGCGATCCCCCCGATCTACCATATCATATACGCGTCCTCATGGACCATTTTGAACAGCGTAAATGCACGCCTGCCACGGGAAGAGCAAGTGGGAAACATGCACTTCCAGGAGGGGACAGGGATATGGGTGAGGGGAGACAGAACAGACGGTATAGGGATATATTATCCCGTAGGGTGTCACAAGAGGAGTGGCAAACCCCAGCAAATTTATGTAGTTTAAAATAGAGTAGGAATGGGTAGAAGCGGGTGTAAGAAAGACTAGAATGGGAAAGGTAGAATGAAGGGGGGCAGACAGTGCAACCGGCTGAAGATCATGACATGGAATGTCAGAGGGATGGGGGTGAGACTGTTATTGGCTAAAAGGAGCTGGCAGAGAAGGTTAAACGGGAAGAGATAGATGTTGTTTGCCTACAGGAGACTTCAGTGGGTTGGAGGTAAGATAGCAGAGACGGTGTTATGGTGGAAGGGCCACCAAGTATGGGCCCCGACACAGGAAACAAAGGGGGGGGTATGTATTCTGGTTTCCCTCCACTTTAGAGGGGGAATCCGAGACTGGTACTTTGACTCGAAGGGTCGATGGGCGTGGGTGATCTTGCAATGAGGGGAGGAGTTCTGGGGATTGGTCACAGTATATGGCCCGATGGAGATTGGCCTGCGGCGCAGAATGTGGGAGCAGGTGCAGACTCTCGTCCCGGACGTGAACAAAATTATTGTAGCAGGGGACTTTAACTAGGTAGCAGACCTGGTCCTGGATTCTGCTACAGTAAGGCATGTGGAAGCGGACTCCCTCGCACTCCTTAATGGGATGACAGGACTGGGCTGCACGGACTCCTATCCAATGCTGCGGCCGCAAGACAGGGATTTCACGTTTTGGAGAAATACGGTGGCAAGGAGATTGAGAATTGATATGATTTGGGCATGGACAAAGCTGAATGAAGTGATAGACCAGGCCTACATAGCTCCAATGGCAACATCGGATCATTCGGCAGTAATACCCTAGGCTGGTCCCCGGGCCGCCCGGCGGCCTGGTCATCGCCCCGGGGGGGGGGGGCGCCGGGCCGTCTGACCGGTTGTCCCGCCCGGTTGGCCACCGGGCAACCCCAGCGCATCACTGAAAGGGGGGGGAAGGTCGGCCGATTTTGACGCGGGAGGTCTTTTTTCCCCCCGAGGAGGTCGTCCAGGCCAATGGAAAAAAAAAGGGAGCCGGTAGACCCCATTTCAACATTTCGCAATCGGGCCGATCTGCACCGTTGATCTCCAAGATCGATGGCCCAGAAGGGCCGTGATTTGAAATCCGTGAGGGCGGGAGCTACCGGCCCTCGTTCCCTCCCTCACGCGAGTCACCCCATTTACCCCGCCCAACGCCTCCCTTCGCCCGTGTGCGAACGCGACAGCAGCTGCAACGACCCCGCCAACGCCCGCCGATGCCTGCCAGCGCGCGTCACCCGCCAGCGCCAAGGTAAGTGGGTTAGTTGCA